CATCCCTTTTCCTGTTGGAATTCCAGAGGACTGGAGCTCCGATTGGGAATTCCCGGGGTTCCATCCCTTTTCCCATTGGATTTTCCAGAGGACTGGAGCTCGGATCGGGAATTCCCAGGGTTCCATCCCTTTTCCTGTTGGAATTCCAGAGGACTGGAGCTCCGATTGGGAATTCCCGGGGTTCCATCCCTTTTCCCATTGGATTTTCCAGAGGACTGGAGCTCGGATCGGGAATTCTCTCCGTTCCGCCTGGGGGAGGTGCTGCGCATCCAGGCCGAGGTGGGCTCCGGGGGCCACGTCCCGCTCCGGCTCTTCGTGGATTCCTGCGTGGCCTCGCTGGGCCCCGGTGCCGGCAGCGAGCCCCGCTACGCCCTGATCGACTTCCATGGGTGAGCCGGGAATGTCTGGGAATGTCTGGGAATGTCTGGGAATGTTTGGGGATGTTTGGGGATGTTTGGGAATGTTTGGGGATGTTTGGGGATGTTTGGGAATGTTTGGGAATGTTTGGGAATGTTTGGGGTCTGGGACAGGGTGGTGACACCTCATCCCTCCCCTCTACACCCTGATGGACTTCCATGGGTGAGCCGGGAATGTCTGGGAATGTCTGGGAATGTTTGGGGATGTTTGGGGATGTTTGGGAATGTTTGGGGATGTTTGGGAATGTTTGGGGACGTTTGGGAATGTTTGGGGATGTTTGGGGATTTTGGGGATTTTGGGGATGTTTGGGGATGTTTGGGAATGTTTGGGGTCTGGGACATGGTGGTGACACCTCATCCCTCCCTGCTGCCCCCTCATCAACTTCCATAGGTGAGGCGGGAACGTGCGGGGATGATCGGGAATGTTTGTTTGGGGACATTTGGAGTTGTCTGGGAATGTCTGGGGACGTTTGGGGTGTGGGACACGATGGTGACACCTCATCCAGCCCTGCTGCCCCCTCATCAACTTCCACGGGTGTGAGGGGACAGTTTGGGAACGTTTGGGAATGGCTGGGGACGTTTGAGGATATTTGGGGGCATTTGGGGACATTTGGGGACAGCTGGGGATGCTTGGGGTCAGTTTGGGGTCAGTTTGAGGACATTTGGGGGCGTTTGGCGACACCCAGGGACACTCTGGGAGCATTTTTCGGGGGAGCTCCACGCTCGGCCCTGGTGGCTCTGCTCCCTTGTCACCTCCCCGCGGTGACCCGTGATGCCACCGCGATGTCACCCGTGATGTCACCTCGGTGCCACCGCTGTCCCCGCAGCTGCCTGGTGGACGGGCGCTCAGATGCCACCGCCTCGGCCTTTGTCACCCCCCGTCCCCGGCAGGACATGCTGCGCTTCCAGATCGACGCCTTCCGCTTCGCCGGAGACGCCCGCAGCCTGGTATCGCTGTCCCCGCGGTGTCCCCGTGGTGTCCCCACAGTGTCCCCACAGTGTCCCCAGCAGTGTCCCCTCCCCACAGATCTACATCAGGTGCCATCTGAAGGTGACGCCGGCCGAGCGCAGCCCGGACGCACTGAACAAGGCCTGCTCCTTCAGCAAGGCGCGCCAGGCGTGAGTGACACCGCTGGGACACCGCGGGGACACTGTGGGGACACTGCGGGGACACCCTGGGGACACCGTGGGGACACCGTGGGGACGCCCTGGGGACACTGCGGGGACACTGCGGGGACACTGCGGGGATGCCCTGGGGACACCGTGGTGACCCCGGGTGGCAGCGGGTGACAGATGTCACCTCCCCGCCACAGCTGGGCGCCCGTGGAGGGGACGAGGGACATCTGCGGCTGCTGTGAGCTGGGAGAGTGCGGCAAGGAGGAGATGGCCCGGAACCGGCGGCCAGCGGAACCATGGGATGGCCACCGGTACCGGAGAGACGGTGAGGGGACAGGGACAGGGGACATGGGGACAGGGGATGGGGACATAGGGATAGGGGACAGGGATAGGGGACATGGGGATGGGGACAGGGGACAGGGACAAGGGATGGGGACAGGGGACAGGGATAAGGGACAGGGGATAGGGGGATGGGGACATGGGGACAGCAGGGACAGAGAGGACATGGAGACAGCAGAGACACTGAGGACAAGGGGACATTGGGGACACTGGGGACAGAGGTGACAGTGGGGATGGGGTGATCCCTCTTCACTGTCCCCACTCTCCCCTCTATGTCCCCTCGCTGTCCCTCACTGTCCCCAATGTCCCCTCTCTGTCCCCTCTGTCCCCAGCTGCCACCTCCGAGGCCGACGTTGTCCTTGGGCCGGTGCTGCTCTCCAGTGAGCAGCGGGGCCAGCGCCCGCACAGCCACCAGGGTGAGTCCCCACGGGTGACGACTGGGGACAATCGGGGACAGGCGGTGATGTGGTGACAATCAGTGACAGCTGGTGACAATTGGTGACAATTGGTGACAATCAATGACAAATGCTGACAATCGGTGACCACAGTGACAATCGGTGACAGTGACAGTGACAATTGATGACCACAGTGTCAGTCGATGACAATCGGTGACAAACAATGACAATCAGTGACAGTTGGTGACTGCAGGGACAACCAATCAAAATCGGTGACAATCAGTGACAATCAATGACAATCGATGACAATCAGCGATGACCGGTGACAATTGGTGACAATCAATGACTGCGGTGACAGTCGGTGACAATCGATGACAATCAATGACAACTGGTGACAATCAGTGACAGCAGTGACAGCCAGTGGAGGTCCCCAGTGATATCCCCAGTGATGTCCCCTCTGATGTCCCCGATGATGTCCCCGATGATGTCCCCGATGATGTCCCCAGTGATGTCCCCAGTGATGTCCCCTCTGTGTCCCTTTGCAGGCGCGGTGACCCCGCTGGCCCTGGGGACGGCGCTGGCCGCAGCTGTGGCCACAGTGGTGGCGGCCGGAGCCGTGCTGGCCATTGGCCTGAGGCGCCGCAATTCCCAGTAAATCCCAGAATTCCCGGGAAATCCTGGAATTCTGAACAAATCCCAGAACTCCCAACAAATCCCGCAAGGACCAACGAATTCCCAGTAAATCCCAGAATTCCCAATAAATCCCACAGGGACTGCCAGAATTCCCGGTAAATCCTGCAAGGACCAAGGAAATTCCCAGTAAATGCCAGAATTCCCAGTAAATCCTGCAAGGACTGATGGAATTCCTAGCAAATCCTGGAATTCCCAAGAAATCCCACAAGGACTGACAGTGTCCGAGGGGTGGCTCCGGGTAGGAATCCCAGGAACGGGGCGGGGAAGGTGACAAATCCTGTCCCGGTGTCCCCATTCCCAGTGTCCCCGATCCCAATGTCTCATTCCCGATGTCCCCATTCCATCCCAGTTTCCCATTCCCAATCCCAGTGTCCCCATTCCCAGTGTCCCCAATCCCAGTTTCCCATTCCCTGTGTCCCCAATCCCAATGTCTCCATTCCCATTCCCAGTGTCCCCAATACCCCCAATCCCAACATCCCCATTCCCAGTGTCCCTGATCCCATTCCCAATGTCCCCATTCCCATCCCAATGTCCCCGATCGCAATCCCAATCCCAATAATCCCCAATCCATTCCCAATGTCTGCAATCCCAATGTCCCCATTTCCATTCCCAATGTCCCCAATGTCCCCAGTCCCACCATCCCCATTCCCAATGTCCCCAATCCCAGTTTTCTGTTCCCATTCCCAGTGTCCCCATTCCCAGTATCCCCAATCCAATCCCAGTGTCCCCAATCCCAGTTTCCCATTCCCATTCCCAATGTCCCCATTCCCAATGTCCCCAATCCCAGTTTTCTGTTCCCATTCCCAGTGTCCCCATTCCCAGTATCCCCAATCCAATCCCAGTGTCCCCAATCCCAGTTTCCCATTCCCATTCCCAATGTCCCCATTCCCAATGTCCCCAATCCCATTTCCAGTGTCCCCATTCCCACTCCCATTGTCCCATTCCCAACGTCCCCAATCCAATCCCAGTGTCCCCAGTCCCAGTTTCCCGTTCCCAATCCCAGTGTCCCATTCCCGGTGTCCCCAATCCCATTCCCAATGTCCCCAATCCCAATCCCACCATCCCCATTCCCAGTCTCCTCTTTCCATTCCCACCGACCGCATTCCCAGCCCAAGAATTCCCAAAAACTCCCAACTTCCGGTCGCTCTGGGTTTGGAAAAGGTGGAAAAACAGAAGAATTCCCTAAAAAAAAATGGGATTTCCCTCCCCAAATTCCTGGAGCTGTTTCTTTTCCCTGCTCGGGGGACATCCCCAAAAATTCCCAAGGATTTTGAGGATCACGAGGATTTTATGGATCCCTGGAGGGAGTGGGGTGTCCCTGCTTTTACTCCAGCCTTGGATTCCCTCAGGAAACGGGGAAAAAAACGGGAATAACAGGAAAATTTGGGATTAAAAAAGATTCTGAAAAGTCCTTGTGGCTTCCCCGCTTTTTATTGGGAAAAGGGGGAATTTTGGGAACACGTTGGAGCCACCCCAGGAGCTTCCCGGGAAAGGGGACGGGCGGCATTCCTGGGATTCGGTGGCCATCAGGATCTGCAGGGAAAAAAAACGGGAAAATCCTGGGGAATTCTGTGGGAAATGACGGAAAGAACAACCCCAAATGGCCAAATTCCATGGAAAATCCCAAGTTCCACCCCAGATTCCAGAAAACTTCATGGGAAAGGAGGAAAATCTCAACCCCAAATGGACAAATCCCAGAAGATTCCATGGGAAATTTGGAAAACGTCAAATCCCAGGTTTTTTCCTGACCTTCACCACCAAAAATGCACAGGAAAAGTGGGGAAAAAAGTGGGAAAAAGCAGGAAAGAAGTGATAAAAATGGGGAAAAAGCAAAAAAAGTGGGAAAAATCGGGGAAAAAAGCAGAAAAAGCTAAAAAAATGCAGGAAAAAGAGAGGGAAAAAAGTGGGGGGGAAAAAAGTGGGGGAAAAGTGGGGAAAAAAGCAGAAAAAGGGAAAATACTGGGAAAAAAAAGTGGGAAAAAAGCAGGGAAAATTGGGGAAAGAAGTGGAAAAAATTGGGAAAAAAAAAGGGAGAGAAGTGAAAAAAATGGGGAAAAAAGCAGGGAAAAAGCGAAAAAAGTGGGGAAAAAAAAGGAAACGGGAAAAGGTGAAAAATGTTGGAAAAACCCAAAAAGTGGGGAAAAAAGTGGGAAAGATGCAGGAAAAATGAGGGAAAAGTGGGGAAAAAAGCCAGGGGAAAAGTAGGGGAAAAAGTGGGAAAAAATGGGGGGAAAAAGGGGAAAAAAGGGAAAAAAAGTGGGGAAAAAGGAGGGGAAAGTGGGAAAAAAGGGGGGGGGGAAGGGAAAAATACTGGGAAAAACCTGGGGAAAAAGCCAAAATGTGTGGGGAGAAAAACTGGGAAAATTGGGGAAAGAAGCAGGGAAAAAATGGGGGAAAAAGAGGGGAAAAAGAGGGAAAAAGCAGGAGAAAAAGTGGAAAAAATGTGGGGAAAAAATCAGAGGGAAAAGTGGGAAAAAAGCCGGAAGAAAGCAGGAAAAAAACGGGAAAAAGAAGGAAAAAAGGGGGAAAAAAAAAAAACCCACAAAAAAAGGAGGGAAAAAAGGTGAAAAAAGGGGGGAAAATTCCAGAAAAAAAAAAAAAAAGCGGGAAAGGAGCTGAAATAATTTGATTTGGAATTTGTGTTGGGGATTTTTTTGGGAATGGGAATTCCGTACTGGGAAATGCGGCAGTTGGAGGCGGAGACGAAGCGCCCGGTGTAGTGGATGTGGCAGCGCACGACGTTGTTGGTGAAATCTGACTCCAGCACCAAATATTTGGGATTGACCTGGACCTGGGAATGTGGGAAAAGGTGGGAAAAAAATGGGAAAAAACCCATGGAAAATTGGGTGGGAATGCGGGCGGGAAAAGGGGGGAAATATCCCGGAAATATCCGGGAAATGGGGGAGGGAAGGAAATCCCGAAGGGGGGAAAAAAATCCTGGAAGGGAAATAAAAATTCCAAAAAGCAGAAGGGAAAATTAGGGAATGAAAAAATATCCCGAAATGAGGAAAAGGGAAGGGGGAAAGGTCCCAGAAATAGATGGGAATGGGGAAATCTGGGAAAAAATCCCCAAAAATGGTCAGGGAAAGGGGAAAAACCACAAAAAATAAAGAGGGAAAGGGAAAATCGGGGGGGAAATCCACAGAATTAGCGGGAAAAGGGAAAATTGTAGGAAAAGAATAAAAAAAAATCAACAGGGAATTGGGAAAATGGGGGAAAGCAGGAAAAAAAATCCCAAAAATGAACAGGGAAAAGGGAAAATCAGGGAAAAATCCCCAGAAATAAAGAGGGAAATGGGAAAAACGGGGCAAAAATCTCAAAAAGTAAATGAGGAAAGGGGAAAACAGGGAAAAAATTCCTAAAAATATCAGGGAAAAGGGAAAATGGGGGAAAGCTGGAAAAAAAAAATCCCAAAAAATGAACAGGGAAAAGGGAAAATCAGGGGAAAATCCCAAAAAGTAAATGGGGAAAGGGGAAATCAGGGGGAAAAAAATCCTAAAAATATCAGGGAAAAGGGAAAATGGGGGAAAGCTGGAAAAAAAAAATCCCAAAAAATGAACAGGGAAAAGGGAAAATCAGGGGAAAATCCCAAAAAGTTAAGAGGGAAACGGGAAAATCGGGGAGAGGGGGGAAAACCCCAAAACAGGGAAAAGAAAAGGGAAAAAAATACCCCAAATCCAAAGGGAAATGGGGAAATCGAGGGGGAAAAAAATCCCAAAAAAATCCAGGAAAAGGGAAAAAAAGCAGGAAAATCATCCTGGAAAAGCTCCCAGGGGTGGGAAAATCCTGATCCGAGGTGAAATTGGGGTTTTCCAGCCCCAAAGCACCTTGAGGATGTAATTCCCGGGCGGAACGTCGGTGATGTCGATCCACTGGCAGTCGATGTCGGCGTTGTAGGTGTCGTAACAGCCCGGGCTGAGACCCTGCGGAAAACGGGGGGAAAAGTTGGGAAAATGGGAAAAAACGGGGAGAAAATGGGGAAAAATGGGAAAAAATGGGGAGAAAATGGGGAAAAATGGGGAGAAAATGGGAAAAACGGGGAGAAAATGGGAAAAAATGGGGAGAAAATGGGGAAAAATGGGGAGAAAATGGGGAAAAATGGGGAGAAAATGGGAAAAAATGGGGAGAAAATGGGAAAACTGGGAAAAAATGGGGAGAAAATGGGGAAAAATGGGGAGAAAATGGGGAAAAATGGGGAGAAAAGGGAGAAAATGGGAAAAAATGGGGAGAAAATGGGGAAAAATGGGAGAAAATGGGGAGAAAATGGGGAAAAATGGGGAAAATGGGGAGAAAATGGGGAAAAATGGGAAAAAAGAGAAAATGTAGAAAAAATCAGGAAAAATGGGGAAAAATGGGGAAAAATGGGAAAAAATGAGGAAAAAATGGGAAAAATGGGGAAAAAATGGGAAAAAGGGGGAACAAACAGGGAGAAAATGGGGAAAAAATGGGGAAAAATGGGAAAAAGTGGGAAAAACAGAGAAAATGGGAAAATGTGGGAAAAACAGGAAAAAATGGGGAAAAATGGGAAAAAAATGGGAAAATGTGGGAAAATGTGGGGAAAAAATGGGGAAAAATGGGAAAAAGTGGGAAAAACGGAGAATGTGGGGAAAACGTGGGAAAAACAGGAAAAAATTGATAAAAATGGGGAAAATGTGGGAAAATGTGAGAAAATGTGGGGAAAAAAGGGGAAAAGTGGGAAAAAGTGGGAAAAACGGAGAAAATGGGAAAATGTGGGAAAAACAGGAAAAAAGGGGTAAAAATGGGGAAAAAATGGGAAAATGTGGGAAAATGTGGGGAAAAACAGGGAAAAGTGGGAAAAAGGGGGAAAAACAGGGAGAAAATGGGAAAATGTGGGAAAAACAGGGAAAAACAGGAAAAAAGGGGTAAAAATGGGAAAAAAATGGGAAAATGTGGGAAAATGTGGGGAAAAAAAGGGGAAAAGTGGGAAAAAGTGGGAAAAACAGGGAGAAAATGGGAAAATGTGGGAAAAACAGGAAAAAATTGATAAAAATGGGGAAAATGTGGGAAAATGTGAGAAAATGTGGGGAAAAAATGGGGAAAAAATGGGGAAAAGTGGGAAAAACAGGGAGAAAATGGGAAAATGTGGGAAAAACAGGAAAAAAATGATAAAAATGGGGAAAATGTGGGAAAATGTGGGAAAATGTGGGGAAAAAAAGGGGAAAAGTGGGAAAAAGTGGGAAAAACAGGGAGAAAATGGGAAAATGTGGGAAAAACAGGAAAAAAATGATAAAAATGGGGAAAATGTGGGAAAATGTGGGGAAAAAAAGGGGAAAAGTGGGAAAAAGTGGGAAAAACAGGGAGAAAATGGGAAAATGTGGGAAAAACAGGAAAAAAATGATAAAAATGGGGAAAATGTGGGAAAATGTGGGGAAAAAATGGGGAAAAGTGGGAAAAAGTGGGAAAAACAGGGAGAAAATGGGAAAATGTGGGAAAAACAGGAAAAAAGGGGTAAAAATGGGAAAAAAATGGGAAAATGTGGGGAAAAAATGGGACAAAATGGGACAAAAAAAGGTCAAAAAGGGATCAAAAAGGAGCTGTTGGTGTCATAACTTCCTGGTTGGATACCTTGTGGAAAACGGGGAAAAATTGGAAAAATGGGAAAAAAATGGGAAGAAAATGGGGAAAATGATGGAAAAATAGGAGGAAAAGGGAAAAAAATGGGAAAAACAGGAAAAAATGGGACAAAAAAGGGATAAAAAGGGATTAAGATGGAGCCATCGGTGTTGTAACTGCCTGGGCTGAGACCCTGGGAAAAAATGGGGGGGAAAATTGGGAAAATGGGAAAAAATGGGAAAAAAATGGGGAAAATGGGAGGAAAAGGGGAAAAAAGAAAAAGGAAAAGCACAAAAAGGGACAAAAAGGGACCCAAAAAGGTACAAAAAGGGACAAAAAGTGACCAGGGTGACCCAGGTGCTGTCCCCAGGTGTCACCTGGCTGTGGGCAGTGCAGGCGCGGTGCCACAAATGGGGATGAAAGGGATAAAAAGGGACAAAAATGGACAAAAAGGGACCAAAAAGGGACAAAAAGGGACAAAAATTGACAAAAAGGGACCCAAAAGTGACCCAAAAGTTACCAGAAGTGACCAGAAGTGACTGAGGTGACAAAAGCACTGGTGTCAGTCCCCAGGTGTCACCTGGGTGTGGGCGGTGCAGGCGCGGTGCCACAAATGGGGATGAAAGAGACAAAAAGGGACCAAAAAGGGACAAAAAGGGACCCAAAAAGGGACAAAAAATGACAGAGAGGGACTGAAAGTGACCAAAATGTGACCAAAAAGGGACTAAAAGTGACCCAGAAGTGCCCCAGAAGTGCCAAGAAGTGATGGAGGTGACAAAGGTGACAACGCCACGGGCGTCACCTGGCTGTGGGTGGTGCAGGCGCGGTGCCACAAATGGGGATGGAAGGGACTAAAAGGGACAAAAAAGGGACCCAAAAAGGGACAAAAAGGGACAAAAATTGACAAAAATGGACAAAAAGTGACCCAAAAGTGACCAGAAGTGACCAGAAGTGACCGAGGTGACAAAAGCACTGGTGTCAGTCCCCAGGTGTCACCTGGGTGTGGGCGGTGCAGGCGTGGTGCCACAAATGGGGGTGAAAGGGACTAAAAGGGACAAAAAAATGACAAAGGTGACAAAGGTGACAGCGGCCCGGGTGTCACCTGGGTGTGGGCAGTGCAGGCGTAGCGCTTGAGGTGGCCGAAGTCGC